TCTCTCTCTCGTGCGGGCGCCGCTGCATGGGCCCTTGGACACTCTTACCCTGAACTGTTACCTCATCACCACTGTCTGTTACCTTCTGTCAGCGCATCATATTCCCCGTGGGATACGAGAATGTCTTTTTGTATAATGGGGTTTTGTGCTGTGGGTGAGGCACAAGAGCTTCTCAGGGACCATTTGCCCATTGGATAGGGAGTGGCATGGCTTGCTTTGGAGTCTGAGAAAAGGAATCAGAATCTGAGGTCAGGGACTGTGGGCCCCCATTGGCTTGCCACATCTCAAACGAACCCAGTGGGGCCCAGGGCAGGAACAAATGCATGGATGCTAGTGTGTGGCGGTCACGGGTGGGAGTCAGTATCGAGGAGACTGACCCCATCTGTTCCGCTCTGGTGGTTTTCAAAATAAGCCTGCAGTGGATGTATTCGGGGATCTTCAGGGGAAAGACAAGTTAAGGAGAGACTATTGTCGTTTGGAAGTAGTTTCATCATGTCACAGGGTGCAGAGAGGATCCTGCGGCACTATCCCATTGAGCAGTGGCTGGGCAGGTGACTTGGGTGACTCAGTTCTCTAAAAGGATGACCTGGAGTGGCCGAAACAGCTGTGTGTGTTGTGTGACTCACGGATGGTATTGTCAGTGCCAGGGAGGGAGCTGGCCGGGACCCGGAGGGGGAAGGAGCTTTGTCCCATGTTTGTTCTTTTGTCACTTAAAGGAAAAGTGTCTTATTATGGTTGGCATTCTGGAATCAAGAGCAACTGCCTGTGTCCTTTCAGTGACAGGAAGGAACGTCTGAGAAACAGTGCCTCTCACTATCCAGGCCGTCTAGCTCCTTCTGGGAGCCAGTTGATGCAATTTATTGTCTTGTGTGGGGATGGGATCGCCTGTTCTGAAATGGAACCAGACCAGATGTGCCGTCCTCGTCTTTCTGGACAGTAGCGTGTCCCCTTTCAGACCCAGTGCCAGAGGGAGACGTTTTCCCCTCCTTTCTTTTCGGCCAGAGAAAACTACAGGCAGCATGACACTTGTCTTCTGTTCCAAAGTCTGCGGCGGCTCATCTGGGCGCACTGGGTGTTTCTGGTTCTAAGGTTTTGTGGGGCGTGGGATGGCTGGGTGAGATAGGATCATCCCATGGTTCCGTCTGGGGCCTGTGGCTTTGCTGGACAATCCCCAGCCCAACTCCCTGTGCTCCTTGCTTCTCTGGCTTCTTGGTCTCTCTCTGTTAGGGATCTTGGATGAATAGGAAGTGTGGATTTTGAGCATGGATTGATCATTCCTTTCAGAGGGCTCTTAAACTGGGAAAGCAGCCAGGGGGATTGAATTTTCATTTCCTGAAACTTCAACCAAACTGGGAACTGGTGAGAGCTGGGAGGCTGGCGCAGGAGAGCCAGTGGGTGAAGCTCTTGGAAGGCGCCTTAGGAAGTGTGTTTCCCATTGATTCTAGAGGGGGGAGGATGCAGGGTTGTGATCACATCTCAGACCCCTCTCCTTACAGAGCAGGCTAGGAAAGGTTTGTTAATCTGCACCATTAAAGGCTGAAATGTTATACATATTCGAATGGGGACCCCTCCACCTGGATATTGGTCAGTTTTCTTTCCTCAGATCCAGAAAGGTACTGATTTTTTCCCCCAAACTTAAAAAAATCTCTACGCAACCAATATGAACTGGTTCTAACATTTTATCTTTACATGAAGAGTAAATAAATGATCTGGTGCATTTTATTGTGACCTGTTCAGCGAGGTTCCCCAAGATTAAAAGCCATACTTATATTTTTAGTCATAACATGTTAATGTGGTTTATTTTTCTAGTTCAATGAGTCAAATAATTTTGCTCTGGAGGTAGAAGGGTGGTGGTGGGTGGGGCTGGCTCTGCTGCCCTCGGTGCCCTAGGAGATTCGGAGCTGGGGGACTTCGCAAGGATATTTGGGAAGCTAAAGATCGGTCCCCTCCCCCTGTGGCAGGCTGGTCAGCATTTATCAGCTTTATAAGCACATTTTTTTAAGATTTTAACGTGTGGAGCCTAGCCAGTGCGCCAGGCAGGAAGTGTCATCTTTAGTATCAAGTCATTTCAATGGCCCTGTACTGGGCTCTTGTTATCTCTGTTTGCAGATGAGGAATCTGAGACTTGCCCCAGGTCACAGCTAGTGAGTGGCTGAGTGGCGATCTGGGTCCCAGAGGCCAGGGGCTTAAACACCTGCGCCCTGCTGCTTACAACCATTTGTCCCTTGCTGTGTGCCAGGCACTTTCCAGATGAAACCTACGCACGCCTGATCTGGCCCACTCCGCAGCCCAGGGCTTGCCCACCGGGAGCACGGCCTGGTGGGTGGATGTCGGAGGCCATGTCTCGCAGTATTTTGTGGTCACTTCAAGATAGGAGGGAGGGGTGGAGAAAAGTCCTGCATTTGCTCATGGGAGGGAGAGGGCTCAGAATGGGGCTCCACTCTAGGGCCCACCATGCTGACAGTCTTTCTGGACGTTACCGTCAGCTGTTGACAGATGCCCACAAACAAGACGACCCAGAGCTGCCTTTTCGCCTTTTCACTACCACTGACCTGAGAAACTGCCAAAATGATTAGTTCAGAATTTTTTCTGTTCTGGATTTGGGGCAGTAAGTGGAGTAGGGCTGCATCTGGATGTATTTTCTGGAATTTTTTCATATACGTGTTTATTGAGAATTGGGAGATCCCACATGGCTTACCTAAGAGGTCAGACATGGCCTCTATCTGGTACTAAGCTATAGACCACCTGCTCCACAGAGGCGGCAGGGGTGAGTGGGGGCGTGAGTGCCCCATGGGCCTGCTGTCTGCCTGGGCACTGCGAGGTGTCTGGTGCACCCTCTCATTCAAGTGCCAGCTGGACTAGACAGTGCTGATTCTACGCCCATTTCTGTACGAGATTCGGAAGTTCCATGACTGGCCCAGTGGCACCTCAGTGCAGTGGCCCTGTCAGTAGTGCCCCAGGCTTTTACCATTCCTGAACCTGCTGAGCTGGATGGGTCTATGTCACCTTGTGCCTGTTTCTAGACCCTGGGCTCTCTGTTTGGTAGCAGTAACATAGGGGACCGTCCCTGTGGAAGCCATGTAAGAGCAGCCAGCCCCCCTCAGGTACCAGCAGTGCCAAGCTCCTGGTGCGAGTAGTCATGGGGAAGAGGCTGGAAGCCTAGGCCAGCAGGCAAAGCTTCTGTTTGCTCTGGAGAGAGGGAACTCTTGCCTAGAAAGTCTTCGAGTTCTTTTTCAGTGTGTCTTCTAAAAATTAACCAGTTTGGAAATGTTGCAGTCTTGCCGTTCTTTCTTCTAGGTCATCTGAACATTCCAAATACCTACCCATTACCTGATGCCGCTGATAAAATCGAGATGGCTCTGAACCCAGTAAGTGGTTAATTATTACCTTCCTGGCCTTTTCTGGGTTCCCTTCCTCCTTCCGTCATCTCCCGAGGTGTGTGGTCAGCATTTCAGGAGGTACTGTAGGGAAGGCGTGTGCTCCATTGCTGGTGGTGGCCAAGGCATGCTCGAGGCAGGGTGAGCAGTGGGGAGTCAGGGTGCAGCCACGTGGGGCTGCACAGAGGAGTCCCTGGGCTGGTGGGTGTGGGGTGATGTGCCTTCTTACCATGGCTCCGTCTCTTCCTGGCCTTAGGGTGGGCTTGGGGCAGGGATCAGCGATGGGGTGTGGGGACAGATAGAGCCAGGAAGTGGTGACAGGGAGTAGTTATGCGTATACCACCAGCCAGCAGACCACTGGGTAGCCTGGCTTTCTGGTGACCTGGGGGAGGCCATGAGTGGGTGGGGCACTGGGCTGCCCATCCCACCTCCTGGACCCCATCTCTCCACCCCGACTTTGCAGACAGTCTTTTTCCACCATCACATCTTGCTGATGCATCTTGTACCTGGGAATAAGTGCATTTTAAAGAGTTGTGCTTAATAACACAAATTTTCTATATACTGTGTCTGGAAAATAGACCTTCTGCTCTTCCTTCCTTTATGTTACTTAATGCATTTTAAATTTCAAATCTACTGCACAGGAATTTGCCAGGATAAACCTCTACACTCCCTATAGCTGCTCCTGGGTGAGACGGCATGTTCTTAGATGCTTCAGAAAGGATTCAAGCATGTGCTCCTCTTTTGTCTTGGGTACTCCCCTTTAGGTCAGAGATTACATTTCGTTTTCCCTTTCTGTCTACTGTTTTGGTTTACAGCCATAATCTTTGGACTTTTGAAGGAGAGCTTTGGTGAGTTATTAGGCAGAGGTTAACTCTGGGAGCCTGCATTTGGCTTGTCTCTTTACAATCCTGCTTCCCTGGAGGTACCGTTTAAAATGCTAAGCTTTAAGTTGCCTCTGCTCAGAAATCCTCTTCTCCCTGAGATCTCAGTCAACGAGAAACGAGGAAAGAAATTCATGGGTGGAAAGTTTTGCACAGGGCCACTCAGATTAGAGGGTAAATGTGGCCTCCCAGTGTGGCCTGGCTGGTGGGGTGGGGGTGGGGGGGACTGAGCAGAGCAGAAGCTGGGAGGGTGGCAGGCTGTGGGGCCTGAAGTGGCCACCAGGGGTGCATCTTGAAGGGGTAACCCTGGCCTGGAGAAGACGTCTTCAGTAGGCAGAGGGAGGGGAGAAAGGCATTCTAAGAAGGTAGAAACCAGCCAAGGATGGAGCTGAGAATGAAATGCCCTGGCTAGGGCACTACCATCCACACTTGTGTGCACACACTGGGACTCAGAAACCCTACTCATAGGTGCAGCTCCAGAAATCCACACACTTGCCTCCAACTTGCATGGGCTGTACAAGGTTACTTATGCTAGCAGAACTGCTAGCGGCCCCAAATCGTAAGCCCGTTGAAATGTCCATTTGAAGAGAGGGCGAGTAAATGATGACACGTGTCTGTGAGAGATAAGGGGATAGAAAAAGGAATTTGCAGAATAGCATATATAGGATGAACCTTTGACTACATTTCCTGACCTCCATCACTCACGCGCCTCTGCAAAGTAGGTGTGTCAGTCATACCTGTGCCATCTGGGGCTTATGGCCAGGTTTCAGTGAGGTTGTGCATACACATCTGGCAGCAGGTGGGCTCTCAAATGCAGCGACTATTCTTATAATTCCAGTAGCACCAGTTCATAGCTGTGCACCCTGTCTCAAGGTGTAGGGCATTGACCCCTTCCCAGACTTCTACACATTTTTTTCTTTAAATTTTTTACTACATCTCCATGTTCATTTGCTTTTTCTTTATTTCAAGAAAATGATTAGTAAACAAACAAAAACTACTGACAATTAATTAAAAAGTCCTGTTAGTTTTTATTCGGCGCAGTTGGGTGTTTGGCTAATCGTGATGACGGAAAAGAGGCCTCGGCATCCTTCCACGTCTTGTCTGAGGGCAATGGGAGATATACTTAACCTCTAAGGTAATTAGCGGCTTATATTATTCATCTTTTTAATTGTTTAGGGATCACCGCCAGGTGTTGGACCTTACTATGAAAACCACGGGTACCAAAACGAAAGCCCGTACCCGCCACGGCCAGCTGTGGTCCCCAGCGCCTACGCCGTGTACCCAGCTCAGTACTACCCGCCCACCGTGCCCCAGTACGCCCCGAGAGTGCTGACGCACGCTTCGACGCCCGTCATCCACGTGCAGCCCAAATCCCCGTCGGGGACACTGTGCACCTCAAGTAGGACTCTACTGTGTTTCTCTCCCATATGCAACCGGAGTGTGGGTCTGCCAGCTCCAGCCCCCACCCACTCTGTCGCCAGCTGTCTGTCCGCTGGCCTGGTCGGTCTGTCTTAGCATGCCTTTCCCTGTCCCTCTGCTGTGTCAAGCTGTCTGCGCCGGGTCTGGCCTCCTGCCCGGGCTTCCAGGAGCCTCCAGGCTGCAAAGACCTTTTTATCTTTTGCTAAAACTCTCCTGTACCAGCTTCGTCCGTAACACCCGGGTGATCTTTCAAGCCGGCCTCTCTGTCGCGTTCCTTGCCGGCGTGCTTTCTGATGTGTCACCTGGGATAAATGGCAAGCTCTGGAGCTGGAAGACGGCGTCCAGCCTTTGCCCCCGGTCCAGTTCCCTGAGTACAACCGGCCATGCTCACGGTACGCCATGAGGATGTGGCGTGCAAGGAAGCAACTGCTGGGATTGTCCCACACGTGTCTGCCACCCTTTCTTGACTTTAAGGATATCTCAGCCTGATCTGAGCGGCCAGAGAAAAGCTGAGGGGTCATGGGTGGTGTGTCCTTTGAGTATTACTTGAACCCTTCATCCTCCTGACCCTCGCCTCCTTTCTTCACATTACATTTGTCTCCCTTCCCTCCAGCCCCTCCCATTCTCTCCCCAGCCCCTCCCATCCTCTCCCCAGCCCCTCCCACCCTCCCTCCCCAGCCCCTCCCACCCTCCCTCCCCAGCCCCTCCCATCCTCCCTCCCCAGCCCCCCTCCTCCTCCTCTGTCTAGCCCCTCCCATCCTCCCTCCCCAGCCCCTTCCATCCTCTCTCTAGTCCCTCCCACTCTTTCTCTCCAGCCCCTCCCATCCTTCTCCCCAGCTCCTGCCAGCTGCAGGCTAGCTGACTGTTAGGAACTACCCCTTAGAGGAATATAGCTAGGATTACACTTTCTGTTGTATGTTCTATAGGTTTGGACACATGTGTAACAACATATCTGCTATTACAGTGTCATAAGAACAGTTTCACTGCCCTGAAAATCCTCTGTGCTTTGCCTAGCCATCCTGCCCACCCCAGGCTCCCCAGGTGACTCCTAAACCTGTTACAGCTTGAAAACAGACTGTGGAATTCGCAGAACGTGAATGATTATAAAATGAGCCCTAATCAGATGTTCAGTCTGGTCTGCCCCAGTCCCCAAGCAGGTCTTGCCGCCCTGGCTGACTTCCAGAAGCACAGATGTGGACGGTTGGGGTGCACAGGTGTCCCCCACCCTCCACCTCTTAGCTTGGGGGTCCTCCACATAAACTAAGGGGTTGGAGGATCTGTTTAAAGGCCTTCCGCTCCCGGCCCTCGCTTTTCCACCTTTCCTCCCCTGAATGCTCTGGGGCCCCTGGGGCCGCTCTCCAGGTAGGAATTGCCAAGGGTGCTGGTGTCCAAACCGGGATAGACTGACTGATAATGGTGCGTCAGATTGCTTTGACTAGAGGACACTGGTGACTTTTCCCAAATGCCTTTAATCTTCGCTGAAGTGGGAGCCCAGTGTCCCTGCCCCCTGCCCCCACCCCCCAGGCCAGTCAGCAATGCCCAGAGAAGTTTCTGCAGCGATGAAATGTTCTACATTCTCACTCTCCAGGACATGTGACTCCTGCGTACTTGACCTGCCATCACTATCTGATACATTTTAAGGGTAATTAGTTGAAGTGCAGATAGCCACATGTGGCTAGTGGCTGGCAGACAGGACACCTGTTTGCTAAATCACTTTGGGTAAGACAATTATTCTGCCACCTTTAGGTGATAATTTGGGTTCATTATTATTATTTTACTTATGCTTACCAAAACAAGGTACTTTCCCTCTTAAGCCAATTTTTTTTTACGTTAATCATTTATTTGGCTATTTTAAGGCCATACTTTTTTAAAGAATTTGACGTTAATTTACATTGATCCTTATCGTGCCTTCCTGCTTTTTCCTCCAGAAAAGCAGAGTGGAAGTGCGATGGGAAAGACCTCCCAGGATGCATTCTTAAAATTAAATGTAACATTTTTAAGTGGATAAGAAATTATTGTTTCTTGATATGCTGTACTGTAAACGAAGTGGATAAAATCTGAGAGCTGAAACATCCAGAAAACTCTGCAACTGCATTTTATACTCGGCTCTCTCCCCCAGGGACCAGGAGGGTGCTGTGCATCACTGTCGCCCTGGGCGCCCTCCTGGCAGGAGCGCTGGCAGCTGCCTTCCTGCTCTGGAGGTTCAGTAAGTCAGGGGCAAGCCTGCGGTGGGAGGGGGAGGTCCGCGTGCTGACTGGCCCTGCTCTCGGGGCTGGGGACCACCCACAACCGTCCCGAAGTTTCTCTTGCAAAATGATCATCTTCTCTTTCCTTGCATTTGTTGTTGGTGATGCATGGCTAGACGTTCTAGGAGCAGCCACCCCTCTGCCCGGCGGTTAGGCCTCCTTGTGAGCGTCGTCCTCATCCATCAGTTGTCAAAGTCCCATGTCTTTTGTGTGGTATTGACACAGGGTGGGAGAAGCCTTTCGAGTTTCCCCAGTGCTTTAGGGCACTCTTGAGCTGGGGACCCCTGCCTTGGGGCCACACCCGGGCCTCTGTACCTCAGCGTACAGCCGTGGCTGCTGCGGGCCACCTCCTGGTACCATAGCCCAGGCCAAATGCCATCAGTCTGGGGTTGGTGACTCAGGTGGTCATGGATCACAGAAGTCACTGTGCAGCAGAGGAGAGGACAGCTGTCCAATGCAAGGCTGGGAGTCCCTCCCACGGCCCTGTGCAGTTAGGTGCCCTGGGTTCTCCCCTGCTCACGGTCAGCCCCATTTCCTTTGCTGTACATGGGTGGTGATGACATACCCCTGCTAGCTAAAAGAAAGGGGAGAAGGGTTCTTTCCTGCTGCCACTGGGACTCGGAGAGAGTGGGCGATGGACTCCTGCTGGTTGTGCGAGACCTCCGGTGTCCCAGCCTGACTAGCGTCTCCCTCGTTTCTCTGCAAGTGGAGGACAAGTGCTCTGTGTCTGGGATGGAGTGTGGCTCCTCGGGAACCTGCATCAGCCCCTCGCACTGGTGTGACGGGGTCCTGCACTGCCCCAGCGGGGAGGACGAGAACCACTGTGGTGAGTATCGAGGCTGTGTCCTCTGCTCGGGGATGTGCCGGCGCCCAGGCCCACTGCACACATGTGGCGTGACAGTTCCAGGCTGGTGTCCGGCACGTTGACCTGCTGTGTCGTTGAATCCTTGCCTGGAGGCTACACCTGAGGCCCGACCCCGATTTTCAGATGAGAGACAGGCTCAGAGGGGTTGTGCTCGGGGCCCAGCATCACACAGACCACAGGAGAGTGGCAGCAGGGCCAGGGTCACTTGGGCGTGTAGGCCCCCAACTCTCATGGGATGTCACCTCACAGCAACTAAAACAAGCAGGCTATTGAAAATAGAGCTGACCCTTGAAAAACCTCTGATCTGCGTGGCTCCAATACATGCAGATTTTTTTTAGTAAATATATCAGAAAATACTTTGGTGATTTGTGACAATTTGAAAAAGCATTTTCTTTTCTCCATCTCACTTGATGGTACAAATACAGTATATAATACCCTAACGTAGAAAATATGTGTTAATTGACCACTTATGTTATCAGTAAGGTTTTCAGTCAAACAGTAGGCTATTCGTAGTTACCTTCTGGCGGGAGTCAATGGTTACAGGTGGATTTCTGACTGTGCAGGGAGTTGGCACCCCTCCTCCCTCCATCACCGGGCTGCTCAGGGCTCAGCGGTGTGCAGTCGGCAGTGCGCTGCATCGTGTCCCAACACCAGCTGCCTTTAAATTTGTATGTATCTACTGTCACCAAGAGGACAGCTCAATTTGCTTTTAGTATTTTCTCTTAACTTTTTGTGGGTGATTTCAAGGGTGGTAAAGTGGCTGTAATGGGGAAAACAATGCTTGAGAAGCAGAGCAGAGCTGTGCTAACGTCTCAGCTCAGAGCTGTGTGGTATTAGCCTGTTGGTCCTCTCTGGGTGGTAGTTTTGACTGCAGCCTGGCCTAAGTGAGCACCAGGGCATATGTGATGTATACGTGGCAGAAGTGGAAGGAAAGCACCATCTACACACATTTAACTGGCCCCTCACCCTGGTGAGAGCTCTCTTATTTCTCCTGCAAGGCTGTCTCTTTCCCCCCTCAAGGAGCACATTGTCCGGCCACAGCAGGCCATCCAGGATTCAGGGCGGGTGTGTGCCGTAGCTTAATGCCCTCTGTGCACACTCTGACACATTTACACAGGGCCATGTCTCTTTTATGAATAGCACTTTCAAAATTGTAGTGTCAGAAACATCACCAGAAATCTCTCAGGCACCTTCCCCTTGTCCAGTCAAGCTCGTTCCTAAGTCCTCAGTATTTGATCTAAACCTGGCATGCAGGCCCCGGGGCTGGCAGAGTGGCAAAGGAAGCCTGCACTCCTCCCAGGATCCTTTCCTCCCCTCGGTGTCCTCAGCATGGCCGTTTCCCTGCATGTCCTCATCTCCATGTCACAATGCGGGAGAACTTGTGTCACTGGTCCTGATGCTAGAATTCCCCAGGGTGGCAGCCGGGGCCAGGCCATTTGGTGCATGGTCTCAGTCCCAATTGCTCCTTCTGCACGGCCTTGCACACTTCTAGGGAGTTTGCACTTGCCAGTGACTCACTCTTTAAACTCATCACATAGATTCTTGCCTTTATAATAGTGATAAAGTATTTGTCATCATTTTCTTAAAGCAGGGAGATTTTGAGGTTCAGGAGCGTGTGGTTAAGGTCAGGTGGAATGCTCATTGCTGTTTTCCGACGCATGCATGTGCAAGGATAAACTCTAGCAAGGCAAACGCATTACGGTACCTGGAGATTCTTCCTCTCTCTTCCTAATATTGCAAATACTAACAAATGCAAATATTTTAAGAGTTAATATACTCAAATAGATCAAAGTTCAGGAAGTACAGAAGAATCTCATCTCCTCTCCACACACACACTCACTGACACACTCTCACCCACATTCAACCATGTGCCTGCTCACCAGCCAATCATATTTCTTTCTCAGGGACAATATGTGTGTCTTCTCCTTCCAGAGAATTTTTTCATGTGAAAAACAAATAATTGTATGCTTGCATTGTTAATCCTGTTTCCCAGTGGTTACTACAAGTTGCCTTGGGCCCTTGATGACATATCCTGAAATCATTTCCCCTTGGGCTCAGAGCACCTCTCCCTGTCCCACCGCTGTGGACTCTGCATGTGCCCTCTGTGTGCATCCTCTGTGGACATGCCGAGGTGGAGGCAGTCTCTTCCTGGAGGACTTTCTGGTTCTGCCTGCCTCCCGCTGGAGCACACGTGCCCCGGGGATAGGAGCATAGTGGCAGGAAACATTCCCAGAAGGAAAGCTCTTCTCTCTGGAGGACTGTAGGGGTTTGTAGGACTGTAGGACTTACACATGTGTCTTTTAATAGACTCCCTCCCACAATTTGGTATTGGTTCCCATGTCGATTATTCATATACAACAAAATGGGTCATCACGACATTGCATGTGTGTATGCTGTACTAGATTGGAACACACATGTGCTGTGCTTACAATTTGTCCACTGTGCAGAGCAGAAATTATTTTCCAAGAAATGCACATCTTCTGACACTAAGGAACATTACACCAACCTGTGGAAAATGTTCAAGAATGTGTACAGAGTCTCTTTCCTAGCATATACAGATATATATGTTCTTAACATTAATTCACTTTCTACGTCCGGGCATTAAAATGTTGGAAGAGAAGCTGAAAAACCATGTGAGGTGACGCAGTTCACATACTGTTTTGTCCACTTGAAACTTGCTAAGATCTTAGCAAATTTAGATCTTAAGTGTTCTCAACACAAAAAAGAAAAGAGGGAAGAAAAGAAATATTAATGCTGTGAGGTGATGGGCATTTTAATCAGCTTGACTGTGGTAGTCACTTTGCAACTTATCCATGTATCAAACGCCAAGTGCATGACTTAAATATATACAATTTTTATTTGTCAATTATACATCAATAGAGCCAAAAACAAAGTCCTGAAGACTAAAACACAAAAGAACTGCTTGAGACCATTTGCAGCTATCGGGTGCATCAGTTGTTTTGTTTTCCTACAGAACAGCTGGAGGGAAAAATAATCCCTATAGTCATCCACAGATAAGAGTGAAATGTCCCCCTCATTTTCTATCCCAGCACAGTGTCAGTTTTATTTTTGATTCTGGAAGTTTATTTAAATCCAGTTACTTAAAAAAAAAAGTAATAGCCTTTATTTTTTGGAGCACTTTTAAGTGTCCAGGAAATAGGGCAGATAGCAGAGTTCCCATGTCCCACCTCCCCACACACAGCTGCCCCTATTTTTGCATCCAGGGGGACTTTCCTTACACTCGATGGGCCAGTATGGGTACATTATCACTAATTCGAGTCCTTAATTTACATTAGGTGTTGTAGACAAATGTATGATGTGCTCACATTTGGATGGTGGGTTTGGACATATGTGTACTGACACGTGTCCATCATTACAGTGTCATACAGAGTCACTGCCCTCAAATGCCCTCTGCTCAGCCTGTTCACCTCTCCCTGCCCCAACCCTGGGCAACCTCTGATCTTTTAACCGTCCCTGGAGTTGTACCTCTTCCAGAAGGTCATATAGTTGAAATCACAAAGCAAGTAGCCTTTTCAAATTAGCTTCTTTCACTTCGTCATATACATTTAAATTTCCTCCCTATCTTTTCCTGGCTTGGTAGCTCATGTCTTTTCAGCCCTTAGTAATATTCCATTGTCTGCATCACCGTGTGCTTACCCACTAACACATGACCGGCTAGAACATCGCACATGGATTCCCTCGTCATGGAGGCGTTAGGAAATAATCAGGGCAGGCTGGTCGTTTCATGGAGGAATGAGCCTTGAGACATCGGTCAGACAATCTAGTGAGTCAGGGGCCACCAACAAGGGGCGAGAAGGAGGCCTGAGATAGCCAGGTCCTCACTTTACACTTCACACCACATGCACTCCCCCAGCCACAGAGCGGGACTGGCCATGCTTTTAGCTTTACCAAGTAATGTCGTGTGGAACAGGTCATCTGGCAGCTGGCCTCTTTGATGCAATGCTGTTTTCAAGATTTGTTTCTGTTAATACATGATGCTGGCTGACCCCTGGGTCACACAGGCTTCCACTCTATCATTCACCACTCCTGATGTCATCTTCCACAGAATTCTGGAATGTGGTTATCTCTGGGAGCCGGAGAAGGGATTGGAATACGGAGGGGCCTTCAGCTGTCTGTATCATGTCTTATCTCTGTAAATAAGAGCTGCATTTGTTTTGGCAAAGCAGTTATGAATTTAGAGGCAGAGCCTTACACCAGGGGACTCAGCACCCTCTGGGTGCTCTGCCGGGGTCCAGGGTCTGGGCAGAGGGGTCAACATTTTCAAAGTATTTGTTTAAAGAGCATTAAAAAAAAACACCTTTATCTTATTCATTTAAAAAAAATTAGCATTATCAAGATAAAATTCACACACCAGGAAATTCATCTTTTTAAAGTGTACAACGCAGTGGCTTTTCTATATCTGCAGAGTTGTGCAGCCAGCATCACAGGCCATTTGGAAGCACCCTCTTCACCTCCTAAGGGAACCTTGAGCTCTCATCCCCCCCCCCCGTCATCTCCGCACAGACCCCCAGCCCGACCTGGGCCCTTGGCAACTGCTAATCTCCTCCCTGTCACTCTCCATTCCCTGCTCTCCATGTTCTACAGACATGGACTCACAGAGTATTGGCCTTTGTGCTAGGCTCCTTCACTCAGCAGAATGTCTTCAAGGCTCACACGTGCGGCAGTGTGGGCCAGGCATCATCCCCTAATGCCCAGTGTGAGCCCACTGCCTGGGTGCACCACATCTGTGCATCCATCCATTGGGGTTTGATCGCTTCCACCTTTTGCTAATTGTGAATAATGCTGCTGAGGAACAATGGTACACAAGTCTTTGTCTAAACAACCTGTTTCAGTGCTTCTGGGTCAAGAGCACTTCTCAGCAGAGTGGGAACAGGTGCAGGGCACCCCTGTGTGTGGTCAGTGCCATGGGAGGAGACTAGGCTGCCCCCTGGGCCTCTGTGTCAGGGCCTGAGGGGCTCATGGGGCAGTTTGGACAGTTGTCTGAAACTCACACCGTGTCTCCCTGCCTGCAGTTCGCCTCTATGGACCGAACTTCATCCTGCAGGTGTACTCAGTGCAGAGGAAGTCCTGGCACCCTGTGTGCCGAGATGACTGGAGCGAGAGCTACGGGAGGGCTGCGTGCCAGGACATGGGCTACCGGTGAGCATGGGCTGCGGCCCTGGGCGGTTCAGGGCTGAGGCTTGCCTGGGTCGGGGCTGGAGCTGGGGGCAGCGGGGAGGCCGGAGGGAACAGGACCAGCAGCCTTCCTGGCATGCACGGGAAGACTTGGGAGGCTTCCCAGTGGGAGAGGATTCATTCCACCACGCAGCCCCAAGGAAGGCGGGGGAGGAAGGGGCAGCATCCCTCCTGTGATTCCCAGCCCTGGGCTCACCAGAGCATCCCGTGGAGGCCTTGGCAGCCATCCGACCTCAAGGCCAAAGGCTGAGTGATTTTATTGCTGCCTTCTCCTCCTGGGGGTGCCCCCGTGTGACTAATGTGCAATCGAAGGGTGTTCTCTGTATGCTAGCTTTCAAAAGAAACTACCTCTTGATAAAAATGCTGGCATCTTAGCTATTGAAATACTTCAGAATGCCCTCCCCAAATTGAAAGGTTGAATGAAGCCCCCATCAAAGTTTAGGACCTGCCAGAAGCTGGTAACGGGGGGCATTTTAACATCTGTAAATTCTGGTAGGTTCCATGTACTCACACATCCTTATTTTCATTGTTTCTTTGTCCTCAAGCCGGATTAGAAACAGGACCAGTGGAGGATCTTGCCTGATGCTCCAGGGTCATAGGACGGAAAGGTGGTTGTAACACAGTGTCACTCGATCAGAACTTGTGATTTTGTTTTTCAAAATGCTACGTCGTTCCTCTTAATCTGAACGTCCTACAGGACAGTATTATAATATAGCATAGGATTTGCAATTGCTTCCAATGAGACCATTGTTTTAAATAAGACTTTCTGTCTTTTTAGGAATAGTTTTTATTCTAGCCAAGGAATAGCGGATGACAGCGGGGCCACCAGCTTTATGAAGTTGAACATAAGTGCTGGCAATGTGGATCTCTATAAAAAACTCTATCACAGGTATTTGGTGATTTATTTTTTCCTTTAAGAAATTTTACAATGGGAATGAGTAGGAGACACCATGGGCATCCCTGGCCCCATTCGTTTCTGAGCTGCAGCTGTGGGCCTGGCCAAGTTTCTCACGGGAGGAGATTGGATTCTCTGCAGGATGACTGCTCGGAGAAGCTCTGGATCTATTGTTGGGAATGGCCACGATGTATTTGCCATTTTGTTTATGCCCTCTGCCCTCTGCCCTCAGTGCCATTGAGTAGCAGGGCAAAAGAGAACGCTCCTTCAGATTGTCCTCACTCCCTGGACACTAGAGATGTGCCTCCGGGGTGTCAGCGTGTGTCCCCAGGGGTCAGGGAATGCCTCAGGGCTGCAGCCAGGGTGGCCCACCCCTCCCAGCTTTCCCAGGACTGTGACGGATTCAGCACTGGTGGTCCTGCTTCTCTGGGGTCCCTTTGGTCCCCAGTAGCAGAGATGGTTGGTCCCTCAGCCCCAAGCCATAGGGTCAGATAGTGCCCTGAGAGGGGCACGTCATTCTGGGGGCCTGGGAGGGAGTGGCTGGTTCCATTCAGCTAACATTTCCTGTGCTGCAAAGCCAGCTTGTCCTGACAGCTCACCTCCAGTGGGTGGAAACGAACTTGAACAGGTCACTGATTGGGAGGGTGGGGGTGAGGGGTGGACTTAAGGTTCTTCTTTTGCATATTTAAAATGTCTGCAATTTTCTCAGGGGTCATTGTTATTATCAGAATGTTCTTTCATGTAAAAGACACACAGTGTCCTTTGTACACGATTCCTGCTCAGCTCCCAGGTCCCTTGTCATCCACTCATCCTCAGGCGGTTAGCCACACCATCACAGAGGGCCGGGTACCAGGCGCCAGGTGTGCGTCTTAGGGGAGGAGGAGTTAATCGCGCCGCCCCTCCTTTCCTTTGGGAGGCTGGAAGCAGGTTTGCATTCCTGGCGGCAGCTGGCTGACGTGTCTGGGGGGCTGACTCCTGCCCAAGCCTGGCTGTCCCCAGGAATGTGACAGGGGAGCCCAGGAGGAGGGGTGTGCAGAGCCAGATGTAGTCGTCAAAGCAGCAGGGCTGGAGTTTGCCTTCCCAAGAAGCCAAACACAGCTGCCTGGCCTGTTTGTGGATGCTGAGGGGTGTGTTCTCTCCCTTGGAGACACGGAATTTGGGCTGAGCAGGGAGGGAGGCTGTCGTGTCTTGGCAAGAGCCTTGGGAACTCACGAGGTAGCTGCAGGGATTGCAGGAAAGAAGAGAAGGTCATTGCCTGGTGCATGGTGTCCTCTACATGTGGCAGAGGTGGGAAGACCTCTCTTTGCTTTCAGAAGTTGCCCTTGGATCCCTTAGTCTCAGGCTTCTAATGGGGCTGGTCTGAGTGACCGCTGGGTGCCCAGATGCTGGTGGCTGCCAGCAACGCCTCCAGGTAAAGGAGGAGCCTTACAATTCTTGGAAAACACCCTCTCTTAATGGGAATGTGTCTTCTCTTGGCACTGCCACCTCTACCCAGCCAGAGGAAACACTGTCTGTGGAACCACGGGGCAGCTCGGGAGCAGAGGTCAGAGGGACTTATCACAGGACTTGGGCTTGTGTTGGGCCACTTTGGGGAGGGCTCAAGGAAGCAGGCCTTTGGACTAGACTGGATGCTGTTGAGAAGTGAGGCTGCTGCGGTGACTGGTATCTTAATGCTTTTTTTCTAGAAGGTGGGTGGGATGAACCCTGGTTGTGTGGGCAGAGCAGCCGCAGTCGCTCCTGTTGGCCAGCAGAGGAGGCTGGTGGTCCCTGTGTGCTTTGGACCAGGTTCACGCCTGCAGACAGGACTCTGCAGTGAGCTGGGCTTGTGTCCTGCTCCATCACCTGCCAGAGGTCTGGCCCGATGCTGATGCTCCGAGAATTATGTTTAGTGGAACCCACGGCTGGCTGCGAATGCCTGATGCCCGGGGATTGCTTCTGTCTTTAGTACACTGGGGAAAATCCACTCTGACAGAATGCTTTTATTATTTATTTTTCATCTGTAACCTCAAAAGTTTACCTCCCCAGTGAGTAACTTTTTTTTGTCTCTGGCAAATGATTGGTGGTATTGCTTTCTGCACAGTATATGTAAAGTAGCCATGGGAACCTGGAAGTTTACAAGTGGCTTCCTTGCAAAATTGGAGGGTGATTGTAAATTACAAGCATAAAAATACACGCATCACTGCACACTTACTCTTGCAACCACTCTATGAGTTGGTACTATTATGATCCCATTGTGCAGATGAGAGAAACAGGCTCAGTGAGGTGACTTACCCAGGGTCACACAGCAGGGACTTGGCCCTGGTACTCCATGTGTGTCGTTTCCCACCGTCCCTGATATCGATCTGCTTCCCTTATCTGAGTCTTCAGTTGTGGACCGTCTGCCTCTGGGCACACTGGAAGGAAATAGTCATGTCTGTGTGTTTTGAGGGTGAAGTGTCTCCTCACGCTTTACAGTGACCAGGATCCCTCTCTTCCTTTGCAGTGATGTCTGTTCTTCAAAAACAGTGGTTTCTTTACGCTGCATAGGTAAGTGACCTTGGGTTTGCCTTTCTATTTCTACACAGGAAACAGTCCAGACCTTCAGAATGCATCCTTGGGGGTGAGGAGGGAGAAGGCGGGGGGGTGATGGGCTGGGATGAACCCGAGGAGCTCCTTCCTGGAATCTGATGTACTTCAGATGCTTCGGGAAGAGGAGTAGCCGTCCTTGAGGACAGGCAACCTCCAGGAACTGCCAGGGCCCCGCTCCTGTGCACCCCCGACCCCAGGGGGAGTGGGAGGCCTGAGGGTGCCCCCATCCCTGTGTACATCAGGATGGAAGGCACTGTCTCTCTGCTTCCTTCTCTGGGCTGGCCCAGCCCTGCTCCCCGGGGGACTCTGGTCCTGGAGCTCAGCTTTTGCGTCTGCAGAGGTGCAGCTAGCCCACCCTCCCAGGAGGGGGCACGGCCCAGGGGCCCCCCCGGAACGTCCCACCAGGCTGGGCGGGAGTAAGCTTCTGTAGGGACCAAGAGAGCATGGTGCCAGCCTCTGGCCCATGCCACCACCTCAAGGGGACTGAGAACAGCACACAGGGGAAGCACAGAGGTGGTCAGTGTGCAGCACACTGTGGGGCCCCTCATGGGGGCCGCCTGCCTTGACCCCAGTGTGATGGGGACAGAGTGGGGGAGGGAGCAGGGATGCATCCTTCCTCCCTCCTCCCCCTCCCCCTCCCCCTCTCTCCTCCCTCCTCCCTTCCCCCTCTCTCCTCCCCCTCCCTCCTCCCCCTCCCCCTCTCTCCTCCCTCCTCCCCCTCCATCCTCCCCTTCCCTCCTCCATCCTGCCCTCCTTTGCTTTGTTCTAGAGCCTCGGGACCTCTGAGCATTCAGTCCCTTCAGGACTCAGGAGGTCCCAGGCCCTCTCTATCAGGGACCCCCTGCCTGGGCATGTGGGAGCTTCCTCTCCTACACCTAAAGAAAACTGGGCCATGTCCTCCACAAGTCGGACCCCATACAAATGGGAAGGAGAGGTGGCAACAGTGCCCACCAGCCTGGCAGGACCCTGGGATGGGAGCCGTCTGGGCCTCCACTGGGTGGGCATGGGGGCAGGCGGCCTGCCTCTGCTCACCCGTGTTGTGCTTGTCGCCTTCAGAGTGTGGGGTCAGCCAGAAGATGAGCCGCCAGAGCCGGATTGTCGGTGGGACAGGTGCGGCCCTGGGGGACTGGCCCTGGCAGGTCAGCCTGCACGTCCAGGGCATCCACGTCTGCGGAGGCTCCATCATCACCCCTGAGTGGATCGTGACAGCCGCCCACTGTGTGGAGGAGTACGTCCCCGCGCCTGGGTTTGGAGAGGCTTTGTGACCATGTGACCTTGAGCGGAGTCTCTGAGCTCTTCAAGCTCCAGGGGGATTCTCAGGGGCCTGCTTCCAGGCATTGCCTGGAGGGTCAGAGGAGCTCGTGTACAGGAGGCACATGGCCCAGGCCATCCTCAGCAAGCGTGCCCTGGTGCTGCTGCAGCGGGGCTGTGGGTATGGGGTACAGCTGAGGGCAGGGGTGTTGCTGTGACCAGGGCCCTTCTGCCCACTGGCTTCTCAGCTCCATTCTGTACTTCTCAGAAGCACCTGCCCTCTTGGAAGGTCTGGTCATCCATGGAGAGGGTGCCATCAGACACAGGGACCTCATGCTGCCTGCGGAATGTTCTGGGGCCTGTGGTTAAGTTTGTTTGGCCATGGCCCTGTCCACACAGGCGGGTAGCCATAACCTACAGTGTGAGCCTTTGTGGAAGATACTGCCCCCTCCTTCTTCCTTAAACATAGAGTATTTTGGTCACATGCCTATTTTGGGGAAAACCTCCCTTGACAGAGCTCTTCTGGTTGGGGGATGCTGGTGGCTGGCTCAGCTCCTGGCCCTGCAGTTCTCTGGCCATGTGGCCTGGAGCAGTCCACTCCGGGTGTCTGACTGCAGTGCCTGCACCCGGGAGAGCAGGGGGCCTGTCCCTCCAGGGCTGCTGTGAGGGCACAGGAGCTGTGTTTATTGCTGAGGGTATGGTCCCCTTCCCACCACCATATTCTGACAGCCCCTGGGATTCTCTTGAAAGGACAACACCTGGATATAGACAGTGCCTTGATGGCTGTGAGACCAAGTCTGCTCATCAGTTCTCACTCATTAAGCACCTACTATGTGCCGGGAAATGCCCTAACATATAAAGGCACCTTAGACCCAGTATGGCCAGAAATAAGGCTTGAAGCCTCAGGAGGAATTCAGGCCCAAGAGTAAGTGTGCCTAGCATTGCCAGGGTTGGGGATGGTGGGAGGCCCTGGAGGGATGGGGTTCACCCAGAAGGAATAGAGCGGAGGTCAGGGGAGAAGGCCATACTGAGGCGGGCGTCCTGCTCTGTGGCTTTTAGTGAGAAGGGTCCCTTCGGGGACCCTGGGCTCTGGCTTGCAACATTGGAGGGCCCCTGAGTGGGTGCCGTGTGCGGGTCTGAGGTGCAGCGTGTTCATCTCCATCTTTCAGGCCTCTGAACCATCCGCGGTACTGGTCGGCCTTCGCGGGGGTTTTGAGACAGTCCTTCATGTTCTATGGAAATGGGTACCGCGTGGAAAAAGTGATTTCTCATCCAAATTATGACTCCCAGACCAAGAACAATGACATCGCTCTCATGAAGCTGCAGACTCCCCTGACTCTCAGCGGTAGGACTGTGTTGTGTGGCTCGGGGCGTGTGAACGCCTTGGGACAAATCTTAAGGACAGGTTCATTGGACCTAAGCCTGTGCCCTGATAACCGGGGAGGAATTTATGTGGAGTTAGGGTGGTGTGCCGGAGGGTCGGCTCCTGGAAGCCTGCTCGGGGCCGAGGCACCCAAAAATGGGCCTATGCTGTTTGAGGGAAGCAGCTGCCAGCACGCTGTCTGCCACTATCCAGAGGTGTGACTCAGCCACCTGTGCAGGTCAGAAAGGGTTTTTCACCCACTGCACTGCTGAGATTTGGGGTGGGGGCCTTCATGGTTGGGGGCCGCCTGCACATTTTAGGATGCTTAGGAGCACCCCCTTGATGCCACTAGGACCCCCTGTGTGGCAACCAAAGATGTCTCTGGACTTGGCAAATGTCCCTAGGGAGGCAAAGTCACCTCGAGTGGAGAACTGCTAGTCTATAAATTGTCAAGACACTTTTTTTTAAACATAAATTCTGAAATAAGATACTTAAATAACAATTTTAAACAATAAGAAACAAACATGTAGCTTTTTATTTGACCCCATTCCAGTCCATCCGAGGGTCGGTCCAGAATGTCCCAGCCCCATGCAGGTACAGAAGAGGCAAAACCCAGTTCTTCTACACAAGGTGTTTGTGTTCAAGTGGGGAAACAATTCGGACCTACAAGAAGCTGCCCAGGGGAGGGGATGTCCAACATGGGGCTCCGAGCTGCATGCTGCATGTGCCCACCAGCTTCTCGGCCATAGCCACATGTGTGCATTTTCTACCCTCCACCACCTGGACGTGTTATATATTTTAAATTTGTTTCTTGAAGATTTAAGTTTGAAAAAAAGTCTATTGTGTTATTTTTAGAAACAGAGCCATCAAATAACTCCATTTATAAGCAGCAGAACTTCCAGAGTGGGGAACATCCTGCCTGTTGGAAGGAGGGGCCTGGCAGGGACAGAAAGGGGCAGTGCCAGGACACCTTAGAATCTGGAATTTTCCATGGGCAATGTTAGTCACCAGGCCCAGCGCATACCAGGGGAAGGTCCAGGTGGAGCCCATGGCTCAGGTAGACCGGACTAGCTCACGTTGCTCTCTCTTCCTGAAACAGACGAAGTGGGACCGGTGTGTCTGCCCAACCCAGGCATGACGCTGGAGCCCGCCCAGGCCTGCTGGATCTCCGGGTGGGGGGCCACGCACGAGAAAGGTGAGTCTCCTGGGGACACAGGTCTGCAGGCCGCATGGGACAGAGCATGGGGTTTAGAGGTGGGAGGTCTGGGTGTTAATCCTGGTTCGATTAACCAGTGAATGGATGGTGTTAGGCAGTTCACCCCATTTTTATGCCTCAGTTTCCCCATCTGCTAAATGGGAGAAATCGTGCCTGCCCCACGTAACTGGCACTGTTCTTAGGAAGATCAAATGGAACAATGAGTGGAAACTGCTTTTTGAAGTAGAAAGGCCACATACTGTGAGAGTTATATAGCACCTGTGGTTGGGTCCCACTGTTGCTAACGGGCCAGCCAGGGTGGCTGGGTGAGGATGACCTCCAGAGGATGGGCTTGTGTGATGGTGGTGGCCAGATCCAGGCTGTCAGAGCCGTTGTCTTCCTGCCCTGCTACCACGCGTGGGGCGAGGGGACTATGCCCTCCTGGTGCAAGCCTGCTCGGCTTCCTCACCTTATAATCGGCTTTCATCTCGGAGATTATCTTCCAAATGAAGGCATCCTGGCGGCTTCATTTTTCTGGAGTGTTGGAAGTACTTAGTGGTATGAAGAAGCCCCTCATAGCCTGCATCCTTCCTCCAAAAAGTGATGAGGGCACACCTAGAACCAAGCCTTTAAAACAAGGTGGAAAGTACAAGGGTGGACGATTTGGGGCGTGTTGGGGGGATAGTAGAGATGGTGTGATCCTGGTGTCCTGCCTGAAGAAACTGACTGGGGGTGAGCCTGACAGGTGTGAGCAAGGCTTCATAGCAGCCCAAGACAAATAGGCAGCTCACACATACTAGTGGAGCACCTGTGTGCTGGAAATGCAGCAATGCGTGAAATAAGACAAAACCGCTGCCCTCTGGGACTTCACATTCTCTGGTGGGTGTCCGGGAGCCGGATGTGGTCAGACAGGAAACAAATGACTGTGCAGCAGACAGCTGGGACAGTGAGGCCCTGGCTGCTTTCAAGGGGTGACCAGGGAAGGCTTCTTGGAAGAGGTGACAGTTGAGGTGGAGGTCTGAATGACAAGAATGTTTCGAGCAGAAGGGCCCAGGTGGTGGGGGCGTGGTGAGCTGGGGGTGAGGGCAGGCTAGGGCCCCATTGTGTCAGGCCTCGCAGGCTCTGCTGAGGATGCTGGCTTCTATTCTGAGGGAGAAAGGAAGCTCTCGGAGGTGTTAGGCTGGAGAATGATGGGACCAGATACCTGCTTGGGAGTCATGGGAAAGGGAAAGGGTGTGGGCAAGGGTGGATTGAGCGTAAGAGTGAGGGCTTTTGCGGTGGTCCTCCGCCCATGATGTGGGGCCAGGCCTGGCTGGGGCGCCAGGAGGTGAGGGGACCAGGTGCATCTGAGTGTCTCAGGTCGGCAGAGCCTCTGGCTGGCTGCTGGCTGGATGGTCAGCAGTGGGGAGAGCCAGGCACTCGGGGAGGATGGCTTCCAGCTGGGGCCTGAGCCCAGCAAGGGTGCTGGTGCCATCTCCCAGCCTGGGAAAGCCAGGTGGCGAGGATCTGGGGTGGAGGTTCTGTTTTAGGAGGGGAAGCCGTGCCGCCTAGAGGACTTCCCATGGAGGCAGCAGGACGGGAGGGAGGAGGTAGAGACTGTGGCCAGCAATCGTTTAGGGAAACATGCAGGTTGGGGAGCCGAGAAGTGGGGTGCTATGTGGAGGATCCAGTGGGATCGGAGAGGGTGGGCCGTCTAAGATGAGAAGCACGGGGGCCTCTCCGGGGCCTGGGTCCAGGGAAGAGGGAGCCGGGCACCGGGGAAACGGGCCTGCAGAGCCAGGAGCTGGGGGGCGATGGAGGAGGAGCTCAGAGCCCGGACGGGCTCCCCGGGCCAGGGGCAGAGTCTTTTCCCCAAAGCTGACCTCAGGAGTGCAGGCAACACAGGCCTGCTGGGTGCCAACCCCCACCCGGGCTCACCCTGAGTGGGCTGGGAGGGCAGGCGGCAGCGGGGCGTCTCCACGAGGGAGTCCCACCCCCGTGAGAGCCCTGGCGGCACTGAGGGCCAGCGGGGTGCCCTGTCCTAGGGAAAACGTCAGACATGCTGAACGCCGCCGTGGTGCGCCTGCTCGAGCCCTGGCAGTGTAACAGCAAGCACGTCTATAATGGCCTGGTCACGCCGGCCATGATCTGCGCGGGCTACCTGCAGGGAGACGTCGATTCCTGCCAGGTAACTGCACGTTTCTAGGCAGCCTTTGGCCTCATCTGTCTCTGTGGAGTCGGTGAGAGGTGCCCTCTGCCCCCACAAGAGGCAGCGCCCCACGTCCCTGGGCCTGGAGGCAGCTGCGGGCAGCTGCGGGAGGGGATGGCTGTGAAATGCCTGAAAACGCTGTGCCACCAGCAACACCCCCAGAAGGGTTATTTTGTCAAAGACTCAGTGGGCAGAAATGAGTATTTTGACTATTTTAAGATATGCACAGCGATTTGTTTAGTAATCCTCAGCCAGTACAGACCCTAATTCATTGCTGGTGTAGTCTCTTTGGGAGATTATATTCCCATTACCTCACTGGAGGACACATGACGTGACACCCGCAGCCATGCCTACCTCCCACCAAGGCCCCACCCGAACCCCCACCCTCTGTGTACTCCCCGTAACTTGCTGTGTCCCCCAGGGTGACAGTGGAGGCCCTCTGGTCACTTTGAAGAGCAGCATCTGGTGGTTGATTGGGGACACGAGCTGGGGATCCGGCTGTGCCAAGCCTAACAGACCAGGAGTGTATGGAAACGTGACAGTATTTACAGACTGGATCTATCGACAAATGAGGGTAACTGTGCCATCTGCCTTCTGCTTGCATTCTCTGAGCTTTTGTGTCAGAGCCCACATGTCTGTGGAGGGGGGTGCGGTCCTGCAGCAGCTGCGTGCTGGCCATCCCTTCGCATGATGCACGTTCTGCCTCCTCTGGCCATGTTTACAGCATCTCTCCAGCGCCCTGCTGGGGTATCACTTGGACATAGTGGGCGGGCCCAGTGGTGCTTGGATGGAAAAGCCTGGGCTTAGCCCTGCAGGGTCCAGAGCTAACTGCACACAGGCTTCCTTGTGCTTCGTTCTGGCTCACCTGGCTCTGTTAACCCACCCAGACCTCACGAATCAAACCTGGTGGCGGGCTGAGAGCAGAGGCAGCCAGTCACCACGCTGAGCTGTGACGGCACCTGCCCTGCTCCCTGGGGCAGAGGAGCACCAGCGTTCTCCCGTACAAGGAAAGGCTGTGAAATCCAGCGGGCCTCTGCAGCCCTGCCTCCCAGACACCCGGCCGGACCTGAGCTGCTTAGCAAAACCCTTGTCTTGGGCACTTTCCTGATTTTGGGCAAGAACCCGATCTCCCTTGATCTCAGGGGCCTCAGGATGGGCACACATTTCATCCCTTCTAGAGATGGGCACCTGGTGAAAGGAAACGTTCTATTTCGCCTCCTCTTTGGCCTCCCAAAGTGTCCATTCTGGAGAGGGAGGGGCAGAGCCAGACGGGGCCTACCCTGCATCTTCCCTACAGGAAACCACGGGACCAAATACCTTCAAAGTGACCACAGGGGCCAGCCCATCCACACCTGGCAAAGGGCTGTGTACTGGAAATGACGGCCCATCGGATCCACTGGGGGCTGTGGTGGAGGGAGGCTGGGGGGCTGGAGGGGCCTGGGAGGAGAAGGTGCTCCAGACACTAGGAAGGTCAGCTAGGCCATGGCGTGAGAGCAAACGAGCCAGCAGTGATTAGATCCAAGCTGGACCTTCCCAAGTAAAGGCCTGTGGCCCCTCTCTGGTAAGCGGCCTGCCTCTCCCGCAGTGTGCTCTCCCCGCTCCCTCCAGACCTCCACACGCTCCCGCCACCTGGAGTGCCTTCCCTCCACATCAGCTCCACTTCTTGACCTTGGTGCTGTAGAAAAAATATCCTTCGTCCTGTTAGGTTTGCTCCTTTGGTTTTAAGTGCCTCTTGTCAATCTGGGGTGTAAAGCAATTTCTACCTTTACCTTATGAAGATAACATCACTTCTCTTTCCTTTCGAACAGGTGAACAGCTAATCCGCACGGCTTTGGCTTTGACACCATATTCCACAAGAAAATGAAGGGGCTGATTTTTAATTCCCGGGGAATAATGTACTTTTAGGAATGATTCAACGGCCTTTCATTTTGATTAAATAGTGAACTTGCCTGTCTTTGGACTCTGCACAGTTCTGTGCTGGCCTTGGGCTCCCCCCAGGCTCATGCTCCTGCCCCTTGTTGGGAAGGGGTGACCAGGCCCGGCTGAGTGCAGCACCCAGGGCTGGTTGGTGCAGGGCAGATGGATGCCGTCTGCCCCTCGGGTCTTCCTTCTGTGCCCGTCCAGGGGCTGCTTTGGATGCACGTGGGGCTGGTGACTCTCAGCTGCTGGACAGCTTGAGATGGAAAGGGTGCTGAGGAGGGTGACCCCAGGACCTGTCTCTGCACAAGAGTTTTCGCTGATACTTTTTAGGGCCTTCTTTGCAGACCCAGATGATGGCCGCACATAAAGGCACCAGCCCTTCATGGGTGATGATGCAAAGGCATCAGAAACCCTTTTTTTTCTTGTGGGGCTGAGAATGCAGATGAATTCTGGAGAGCATGGCAAGCCGTTGCAAGTGTGTTCACCCCCGGGCACGGCTCGGGCAGGGGCCACCGCGTGTGGGGTGGGGCTCTGCCCAGGGAGCCCCACCGTCCTCCTGGCCTCCTTGAAGGTTGTGCACACCCCTGTGGTCCTCCTGGAAGCAGCCACATGGAGTGCCTGGGGCCTGCTGATCATGTGGAAATTGAGGCCACCCGGGGAAATCAGGGATGTGCAATCCCAGATGCACCATTTCCATGCAATGTCTCTGCATGTCACTACCTCAGTGCTCACAGAATCTTGGCTGTGGTGCCGCCGAGTGGTTACTCCATCAGGCTCTTTGCAGCTGTCATCCTTGCCAAATGTGAGCGGTGGCTGACTTGAACTACTTTCACAAAGTGACTGGCTCCTAACTGAATGTGTTGCACATGAGTGAGCTGAAGAATGGCTCCCATGCTTCAGATGAAGAAGAGAAAGGTGTATTTTGGACCCCCCATGGCCCCTTCCAGCCATTAGGCTTCCCCGGAGGAGGGATCAGGCTGTGTTGCCAAGCGAGGTGTAAATGCTCTCGCCCTGAGAACTGCCTTCCCGAGGTCCTGCCTCCTCTCAAGCACACTGGTTTCTAAGAATGAGACACCGATTGGCTGCTAGGACTGACCCCAGTGGGGAAGGTGGTGCATCCCATTCATGTGCCTTGGTGACAGCATTCCCCAGGGCCTTCCGGACATGTGGCACTGAGATGCCTGCTCTCCAACTCAGATTTTAGAAAGCACTGGCATGGCGAGAACATGTTCCTGCTTCAGTGTGTCTTCTTATTTATGTGACCACTTTTTGTCTTGTTTTATATCTTTTCACAATATTATGCCAATAAATTATACATTTTTCCAAGTACCTACTGAGTCTTTGGGATGCTGTCTGGTGAGCAGAACAAATCTGCTCTTCCTTGGAGGGTCATGCAATCGGTGCAGTGGCTGCAGGGCTGGTGGCCGAAGGGGAGGGTCCGAGAATGGAGGTGTGGTGCGGTGGCAGGGGCGGATGTGGTCTGGCTGGTCCCATCAGCTCCACCATCTGTCCTGTTGCAGATGACCCCTGATGGCTTCTGAAGGGGCATTGCGTGTGGCCCCCACTTTTCCTAGATTCAGACCCGAGACCCAGCTCTCTTCTGGACCTCTGCCCAGCGTCCCACACGTCCTCAGATCCAGCGTGTGCAGAGCTGAGTCCAGTGCCTTCCCTCCCAAGGCTGCCTCCCTTGGAGGCCGATAGTGATGGGGGCAGAGCTGCCTCCTCAACCAGCGTGTGCCCAACACCCTAGGGTTGTGACTGTGGGGGAAGGGAAACATGGGGCAAGTTTGTTCCCTGCCCAAAAATAGAAACCCACTCTATTTCTTGCATTCTCTCAATCCCGTAGGTCTTACATACATGACAGGTGATTGTCTTCATTCTGTCAAGATGTCTTAAAGTTTGGGAAAAAGCTGTAGTAAAAAAGCATACAGTTTTATTAGACAATGTCCTTACATACAGTTGATTATCATTCATGATAATTGTTCTACAATCGTCATAAACACTGATTCAGCGAATATGGAATCATTGCTCCGGTGGGACAAGCACAGTCAGGTGCCTGTGAGCCTCTGGTCTTTGTCAACAGACCAACATACCACTTTGTTTTGTATGTATATATTTACTTCATGAAATGTATATAGTTGGGTCATTAACACTGGACTCAGGGCCAGCAGCACGGTAGCTGATCTCACCTGCCTAGTGGGCGTGTTTTCTCTGTGGCACATCACAGCCTTCTTGTGCTTAGGACACTCGATGGCACTTTCTGCCATGCTTGGGCCATTTTAAACAGCCAAATCACCCAAAAGTACAGAAGTGCTGAAAACATGGCACTAAATGGGGCATGAAAACCGCTTGTTTACAGTCTAAGCTGAAACAAAAAGGCAACACTGGCGATCCGTGTGGCGGACACTAAAATTTACTGCTCCTGAGCACGTGTGCACAGAAGTGCCACTGACACCGATTTAGGAGTCAAATTTTAGCAGGCAGATTGACAAATAAAGGATCCACAAATAATGACCATTGGCTGTACCTAAAATACCCACATGGGCGAGGCAGTTGACAATTGCAGTTATATTTTTCATGTTGGGGTCACCTTGTGAAAGGTTTTACTTCTGAATGAGACTGATTTCACTTCAAAGGTCTAGCCAGAATGCTGAAGCTAAGGAAACAATGGTATTTTCATGTTAAAAGCTTTATAAAAGACTTAAGTTCATTTGCTCAGTATAAATGAACCCCAAATACTAATTAAAGTGGAAACAGAAGTATTAGTAAAATTGCATAATTTGTGTTGATCGTTTTGTTGCTTCCTGCTGCTGGGTCAGTAAGTGAATTTCCAGGGTAGGAACGGTTGCCCCCCTTGATTCACTTCGCTGAGTTGTTAGGGGTCCTGCCTTGAACTCAGCTCCCCGCTGTGTCCCTGGCTCTTTCTGTCACCCAAGGCTCACCTGACTCTGCTCCAACTCGGAGCCTTTTTCCCTTCTGACCAAGGCTTTCCCCTGGAGCCTGACGTCGTAAAGAGCCACACAGACTCCTGGTTGGAGTGAAATCCCACCACTGGAGCCCTTGGCTGCTTGGGACACAGAGCATGACGTAGGACGTGGCACATGCCGGAGTTCATTCCCCCAGTGTTTGAAGAAAAGTGCTGGAATTAATGCTACATTTTAAAAAGCCACGAATGTACTGGCTACCACACCTGCCTAGTGGGCGTGTTTTCTCTGTGGCACATCACAGCCTTCTTGTGCTTAGGACACTCGATGGCACTTTCTGCCATGCTTGGGCCATTTTAAACAGCCAAATCACCCAAAAGTACAGAAGTGCTGAAAACATGGCACTAAATGGGGCATGAAAACCGCTTGTTTACAGTCTAAGCTGAAACAAAAAGGCAACACTGGCGATCCGTGTGGCGGACACTAAAATTTACTGCTCCTGAGCACGTGTGCACAGAAGTGCCACTGACACCGATTTAGGAGTCAAATTTTAGCAGGCAGATTGACAAATAAAGGATCCACAAATAATGACCATTGGCTGTACCTAAAATACCCACATGGGCGAGGCAGTTGACAATTGCAGTTATATTTTTCATGTTGGGGTCACCTTGTGAAAGGTTTTACTTCTGAATGAGACTGATTTCACTTCAAAGGTCTAGCCAGAATGCTGAAGCTAAGGAAACAATGGTATTTTCATGTTAAAAGCTTTATAAAAGACTTAAGTTCATTTGCTCAGTATAAATGAACCCCAAATACTAATTAAAGTGGAAACAGAAGTATTAGTAAAATTGCATAATTTGTGTTGATCGTTTTGTTGCTTCCTGCTGCTGGGTCAGTAAGTGAATTTCCAGGGTAGGAACGGTTGCCCCCCTTGATTCACTTCGCTGAGTTGTTAGGGGTCCTGCCTTGAACTCAGCTCCCCGCTGTGTCCCTGGCTCTTTCTGTCACCCAAGGCTCACCTGACTCTGCTCCAACTCGGAGCCTTTTTCCCTTCTGACCAAGGCTTTCCCCTGGAGCCTGACGTCGTAAAGAGCCACACAGACTCCTGGTTGGAGTGAAATCCCACCACTGGAGCCCTTGGCTGCTTGGGACACAGAGCATGACGTAGGACGTGGCACATGCCGGAGTTCATTCCCCCAGTGTTTGAAGAAAAGTGCTGGAATTAATGCTACATTTTAAAAAGCCACGAATGTACTGGCTACCTCATTTGAAATGAATGAGCCCTGAAAATACCAGTGTTTGAGCCATCCACTTGCTAGATACTTACTGTAACTAAGGAGGCTGATCTTATAACCACCACCTGAATCCCACTGAGCTGCTTGGATCTTTTTTCCCTGGGAGGAAAATGAAGTGAGATCTGACCAGCGGGAAGCCAAGGCCGTGTCCCTTCGGCTGCTTTTACTGCTGCCTGGTGGAAGACTTGCTGCTCAGCCTGGGTTCCTCTCCTCTGAAGCAAAAGCTACGTTCGGGACGCTCTTCTGGCTGATTGACTGCTTTCGCTTTCGCTATTGCTACAGAAGGACAGTAATAAAGGCAGCTGGGCCACAGCATCTTAGAAGATGGTCACAAATCCAGAAGCCATTGAACAAGTGCCTGGCCTCTCCCAAGGCGCATGCCCAGCCCCTGCAGCATGCCGACCCCTTGTCCGGAAAACGAGCCTCTCTTTTTCAGTCAGTTCAATTCTACCTGGCTCCCCCTCCTTGCTCTGCTCCAACTCAGCCCCAGGCTTGCCGAGACGGAGGGTCCATGAGGGGGCATCATTGATATTCCAGCATATTCTGCACAGATAGATGGACCTTCAAGCCTGTGCTGCAGAGCATGTGGCAGAATCTGAAGATGCAGGCTCTGACTCTGGCACTGCCCCTCATGGGTGGGTGAGCAGAGGAGGGCAGCTCAGCCCCTTGCCAGAGCCCAGCCACTCTCACAGAGCTGTCTCTTCCTGACTCCTGGACACTTGGGGGAGGCCTAGTACACTTGGCTAGCCAGGACAGACCTGGAGGATACCTGGACACCTGCTCTTTTTGGCCAAAATGAAAGTGATGGTGAGCACATAAGACCCCAGCAGGTTTACCCTGGGGTAAATTCCCATTCTCTGGAGCATGTGCTACCAGTTTTCTTCCTTCACCATCTAATTACCAGGAAAACTGTGTAACAACAGCAAAGAAGACCCTTAGCCACAGTGACACCTGTTTCTGGCCTGGGCAGTGTTCCTGCCGGCGGGTGGCAGGTGCCTGGTCCTGCAGAAGTCACTCAGGCCAGCCACGAGGGGGCGCCGGCTTCCATGGCTCGCCAGCACGCAGGTGAGCAGCGGGCCTGCATCTGCCGCAGGGCCCTCCCCTAGAGCTGGCTTAGGAAGGCATGCCTCCCCTTAGGCTTACAGAGTGTGTGCAGGTTGCTGCAGTGTTTCCTTTAAACAGGAGTGAACTGGTGGTCTGAAGTCAACCTGCAGGTGTACAGTTGGCAATTGGGTGCTGTCCACAGCAGGCGTTGGTTTGAACTTGCTGAATGCCCATTGTTCCCCTGGCATTCTCTCCTCTTGTAAAAAGATCCTCACATTGTCCCAAAGCATTGGGGATCATAGAGTCCCAAGTGTCAGAAGGGACCTGGGTGAGGGGGAGGCTGGAAGGGGCCAGTGTCTCTAGTCCACCTCCCCCCTCATCCTGTACGCGGTCGTCCAGTGTGGTCAGCAGCCTGGGGGCACATAGCTCCTGCAGCGCGCGGGCACCTTAGCAGATGTCTTCCTGGAGAGCATGCTCACGGGGCTCCCTGCGGACTCCTGTCCTCCAGGCTTGGGCATTGTGATCCCTCAACGCCTCCCTTCAAGGACAAGGTCCTCTCTGCTCCTGAGCTGGCCATGGCCAGGGGCCTGCGAGGGTTCCCCACCCCTGGCTAGGCCACAGAGAACAGTGGGGACAGCAGTGCCATCCTGAGAGAGCAGGAATCCACGGTTAACATTCTACCTTCTCTGCTGCCCTGACCTCCATCTAGCCAGAGGACCTGCCTGCAAATCCTGCCGGGAAACCGCTCCTGACGTGGCTTTTTATCTTTTCATCTGCATGTCAGGTACCTAGTGATTGAGCAAGTTGCACATTGGTCAGTGCAATTATAAATAATGCCGTGTGTTTCACACTTTCATTTCCTTTTGTTTGGGAAATGGCTGACTACGTCTACCTGACATTCCTCACCTCACATACTTTAAATTCTTTTTCTTGTGACAAGAACTTTTAAGATCTATTGTCTCAGCAACTTTCAAATATACAATACAGTGTGGGCAACCTAGTCATCTTATAACTGGAAGCCTGTACCTTTTGCTGCCCCTCCTCCCATTTCCTTTCTGCTCCTTTTCTTTAACTTTATTCCCCATTTCCTTCAGTCTCTTATAAATAACCAGACCGTGTTCTGCTCAGCTCATGCCTTCTACCTGGCTCAGCCACGGAGGGCAGGTTTGTGCCTGATCGTTTGTGCTGCTGGGTTTATACCTGCTGTCATTTTCAGGCTTCTCCCCAAAATAAAAGAGTGTCAGAGAAATGTCTGGTAGAAACAAGTTTATTACAAATCCATGAAATATGACTTGTATGAACATTCACATATGTGGCACTAATGTTCCTACAACATGGGGTGCAGGAAAAGATGTCAAAAAAGCCAGAAAAGTAACCCTTCGTTGATGCTTCCATGCCTCCTTCTCTGATGAAGAGAAGGACAGAGCTGGGGGTGCAGGAATGGTCCTGAAGGTGGTAAATCGTTTTTCCTAACAGGGAAGATGGCATCGCTCTTCCGACTTAAGTCATACTCTTAATTGTAATCTAAGTCAGCTTCTTACTAAGTCCTTAGCCATTAATGCACAGCACAGATGGTGTCTCTAAAGTATGACTACTAGCCAACCATGTGAGTAGCTATTAGTGAGAGAATCAGGCTCCACTCCCTGGAGATGCGCAGTGTGCTGTGGAGACTTGGGCTGGGACATGAGCCCAGTTAACCGGGGAACTTGGCTAAGCGACGCCGAGCCTTGGCCAGCCGCGCGAGCCGCTCCTTGAGGAACTTCCTCTTGTCGCTGGTGTCACTGCGCTCCTTCAGGAGCCATGCGTAGGTGTCCTTGTCCTGGAGCAGCAGCAGCATGTTCTTCTGCAGCTGCTGGCCATATGTCTGGAGGACGAAGAACTGGATGATCAAAGGGATGTGGCTGGAGATGCGGTTGCTGGCCTCCTGGAAGGAAGGGACAGTTCACAGAGTGTGGAGGGGACTCTGGCCTCACTGGGAGGGACCCACACCTGGCAGATGCAAGGTCCCCTGCCCGGGTGTCAGACACATTCATGTCCTCTGTGCTGGAGGCAGGGAGGAGCCCCGCCTGGTGCAGAGACTTCCCTGAGGAAGAAGGAATTCAGCCTGCCTTTCCTGAGGCCATTCCGCGGGATTCTGGACCTGCCCAGCTGGTCCCCACAGCTGCACCAACTCCTTGAAATAAATGTCTTTATATGCATGCATCCCGTAGGTTCCGTTTCCCTGGTACACCAGGAATCTTACCACTGGCAATGTACCTTCCAGATAGATGATGTGTGAGCAAGGCTATTCTCTACACCGTCCCTGGATGGGCTGAGGATGGGAAGCAAAGTACGGCTGATCACAGGGGCTGGGCTCAGCACACTGAGTGCATGAAACAGGACTCTCAGTGCCAGTGAAGTGCGGTGGCAGCCCTGCTCTGGACTAAAGCAGAACTCAAGTGGGACAGTCCAAGGGCCCCTCAGAGAGGCCAGGTGCAGAAGAGTACTGTACTCATCTGACCTATGTGTGCAATTACATGTGTGTTGGTAAGCTTTCCCTCAGAGTTCAAGCAACTAGAAAAGGACTCATTCTGGGAAGGGAACTGCATTTTGAGAGAGAGTGTGTGTGTGTGTGTGCGTGTGTACATGTGCTATGTACTCTAGAAAGCCCCAAGAGGTGGGTGAGTGGTCAGGCAGGCAGTGAGCCCGCTTGCAGAGAAGCCCAGAGCCCTGGGGCTGGCGTGGCTTGCCCTGCAGTGGCTCCCCTCCCATGTGAGCACGCCCCAGGGTCTGCGGGAGATGGGGCCAACCCTTAGTTTACAGCCCTGTGGCTCAAAGGGCGGCCTCCGTCCAGTAGCATGGGCATCCCCTGCGAGCCATGAGAAAGGCAGACCCGTGGCCCACCTCAGACCCGTGGCCCAGACCTGCATCTCACCAGAGAGCTATGTGTGTGGGGTTTGAGAAGCTCTGCCTTAGCCTCAAACAGTGGAGCGAAGGGGTATCTGATGGGCCAAGAGATTCTTATTTGCCTCCCAAGAGGCTATGTGTTGTGCTCTGAGTTGTGCGTCTGGCCCCAGGGTGACGTGAATTGCCGTTTTCACATTATTTGAGTTGTACAGCAGCCATCAAAGCAAGGGTCCGTGAGCCACGCCGACTGGGCGGGCTGCCATCGCATCCCACACCGAGCCAAGGGATCTACCCACCCCGTCCTACTGAATATTCACAAGAACCCTAGGAGGAGATACCACCTTATGGAGAAGACAGCCAAGGCTCAGAGAGGTTAGGTAACTTGGCCAGGGTCCCACAGCTGGTCAAAATTAGATGTGAGTGGCTCTAAGCCACAACCTCCTCTCGCCTGTCTGAATTTTGTTGCATCAACAGAGGCTTATATGGGCTGAAGTGCGGTGCTGGCTGATGGTGCCCGGTGGACAGTACCAAAGAGGGGCTTTCAGAAGGGACGGGAAGGACGCAGCCCACCTTTCCGGGTTGCCTGCAGGCTCACCTGGTGGTAGGCTACCAGGTGCTGAAAGATCTCCGCCATGGACGAGTCTTCCGGAGGCGCACTGCCGAAGAAGGCCAGGCTGCTCGTTTTCTTGTTCTTCTTTTCGTCCTCTGTGTCCTTCTCTCTGACCTTCTGCAATGAGCTCTGATAGACTTTGTCCTGGCAGTAGACAATCTGCTCCATTTGGAAGTGAAGTCGGATCGACCTCTCGGCTTCTTTCTCCTGTTCTAACCTAATCTCTTCAATTTTGGACTACGGCAAAAGAAAAACAACCAAATTTCCCTCAAGGAAGTACCCTGGGCCACAGGAACACAGGCCCTCCTCACAGAGTCAGAAACAGCAGGTCCAGTGTCATCACCAGTAATGACATTATTAGTAAGCTTCACAAACGCACTAGACTATTTGCATCTCTAAACACACAATAAAGTTGAAATGATCTTAATCCAAGATGTCTCTTTTCTAGTGTCAGGCTTATACTAAGAAAATAGTAACATCTGGTTAGTTTTACCTTGGAAGTTCTGAAGAGGTTGAAAAATTCATCAAAATTCTTTTTTGAAACATCTGTGAAGGCAAGCCGGACCATATCTGATGAAAGAAAGACAGATGTCCAGAATTGGTAGATTCATTCATAAGCTTCATACTTTGCAAAAAAGAAGAGGATGAAGGGCCAAGAAACAAAGTTTCCCCCTCCTTCCCTCCATTCCTTCATCCGCTCCTCTTTCTCCCTGAAGGAAGAGGCATGCTTTTTGCTCAAGAACCCCTGGAAGAATTTTAAAACCTAAATGTCCCCTGGCATATTTGCTTGACATTTAAATTTTTTATCCTAAGTATAAGTAGTTGCAAAGAATGTAATTTCTGATAGGTCATAAACATATAAACATTTTACAGTAAAGCATTCAATCACTCTTTTAAGCACATCAGTAGAATCTAACTGTCCACATTACTGGTTTGAAAACAAATACATGAACAAGCTCTTCCTTAAATCAGAAAATCTGTTATCTCTTTTCATTTTTGAAACTCATATTTCCATTTGACTCCCCCATAGGATTTTATCCTAATATTAGGCACATATTTTTATGCTTGAAAATCTTTTATTCTTTATATTTTTCTGAAGCAGAAATAGACATATATATTTGTTTTCCAAATTTTTTTCCATGACTGTAACAGTCTAAGTCTTACAAATTTTCTTTGGGCGTCAATTAATACACAAATGATCAATGCAAGTACAGACTAGTCTATAATAATTAAGCATACAGGTAATTTTATTAGCTATACATCTCTTCATGAGCTGTTATGAGACTGTGCCCCAACCTCTACTTGTTCACAGATCCATGGGGTATTATTCATTTTTGCTAGAACAAGACAGTTGAAGCCACAGTGGGAATGGCATCAGCCAAGGAGGGGATCAAAAGGAGGAGCTCAACAACTTTGTGGAAAACATGGTGCAAAGCACTTCCAGGAGAAGGGGGTGGCCAGCCCTGGAAATGGCTACATTTCTCCTCAACAGGCTGCTGACCTAGTCACGCCTCTACGGGACAGCAGGTGTCCCACCCTGGATTCATACAGTACTTCTGAATGCCCGAAACACCTCCATAATGTAGACTTATTTAGCCATCAACCTTACTTCTCAGAGCTTGCAAAGAAATGCAGAATTCAGAGGCTGTGCAGCAACCACTGTGGTGGAGCAGAAGGGAAGGGTGCTATTTTAAGAAATAAGCAATTGGTCTTTGCTGCTGGCCGCTGACACAGAGCTCCTGAATCCTTAGCATTTTCTGGGTGGCAGGCATGTCTCTGGTTCTAATGAACTGACTCTTGCTGGGCCCTTGGTAGCTTCAGAATGGGGACTGGTGGCCAGAAAGACCAAGCCTCGATTAGATACCTGGAGCTGTCAGCCCAACCTTCCCCAGCTCCCTAGCTTCCAGGAGAGGGGTGGGGCTGGGGATTGATCAGACTATGTGATCACTGATCAGACTTCCATAAAACCCCCTACATGACGGGGTTTGGAAAACTTCCACGTTGGCAGACACCTCCACACGCCAGAGGGCAATGCCCCCAGCTCCTCAGGACAGAAGCCTGGGCACTGGGTGCACCCCCGGAGCTTGCCCTGTGTGTCTCTCATTGCTTCCTTTGTAATAAGTGAGCAAGTGCTTTACAAGAAGCAAGTAAAGGGAGCTGTGCTTCTGTGTTCTGTGAGCTGGTCCAGCAAATTCGGAACCTGAGCGGGGTTGTGGGAACCCCGATTTGCAGCCCGACAGGCAGAAGCACAGGACGCAGGAGACTTGCACTGGCGTCTGAAGAGGGGATGCTCTTGTGGGCCTGAGCCCTGAGGGGCGGGGTCTGTGCTAACTGAGTAGTTAGCCTCCAACCTGAATTGAACTGCACCCCACGTGGCGCCCGGAGAATCAGAGACCGGGCTGGCTGGGTGCTGGAAACACCCGTAAGGCGGGCTCTGAGGTTCAGGGCTGGCTTCGGTTCAGCCCTCTCCCTGCCCTAGAAATAAAATGCCTGAAAATAAAACCAAAAACTCACCAGTCACAGTGTGCAGCATATCGACAGCAGGCTCCTCCAGGGCGTGGATTTGCTGCTTTACAATAGTTTCAAACGTCCTGTAATTCACAAACCCTGGCAGCTCTCTGCCCCGGTACTGATTTTCAAATTTCTGGATTTGCTTATAGGTCTGCGGGAGATGGGGCCAACCCTTAGTTTACAGCCCTGTGGCTCAAAGGGCGGCCTCCGTCCAGTAGCATGGGCATCCCCTGCGAGCCATGAGAAAGGCAGACCCGTGGCCCACCTCAGACCCGTGGCCCAGACCTGCATCTCACCAGAGAGCTATGTGTGTGGGGTTTGAGAAGCTCTGCCTTAGCCTCAAACAGTGGAGCGAAGGGGTATCTGATGGGCCAAGAGATTCTTATTTGCCTCCCAAGAGGCTATGTGTTGTGCTCTGAGTTGTGCGTCTGGCCCCAGGGTGACGTGAATTGCCGTTTTCACATTATTTGAGTTGTACAGCAGCCATCAAAGCAAGGGTCCGTGAGCCACGCCGACTGGGCGGGCTGCCATCGCATCCCACACCGAGCCAAGGGATCTACCCACCCCGTCCTACTGAATATTCACAAGAACCCTAGGAGGAGATACCACCTTATGGAGAAGACAGCCAAGGCTCAGAGAGGTTAGGTAACTTGGCCAGGGTCCCACAGCTGGTCAAAATTAGATGTGAGTGGCTCTAAGCCACAACCTCCTCTCGCCTGTCTGAATTTTGTTGCATCAACAGAGGCTTATATGGGCTGAAGTGCGGTGCTGGCTGATGGTGCCCGGTGGACAGTACCAAAGAGGGGCTTTCAGAAGGGACGGGAAGGACGCAGCCCACCTTTCCGGGTTGCCTGCAGGCTCACCTGGTGGTAGGCTACCAGGTGCTGAAAGATCTCCGCCATGGACGAGTCTTCCGGAGGCGCACTGCCGAAGAAGGCCAGGCTGCTCGTTTTCTTGTTCTTCTTTTCGTCCTCTGTGTCCTTCTCTCTGACCTTCTGCAATGAGCTCTGATAGACTTTGTCCTGGCAGTAGACAATCTGCTCCATTTGGAAGTGAAGTCGGATCGACCTCTCGGCTTCTTTCTCCTGTTCTAACCTAATCTCTTCAATTTTGGACTACGGCAAAAGAAAAACAACCAAATTTCCCTCAAGGAAGTACCCTGGGCCACAGGAACACAGGCCCTCCTCACAGAGTCAGAAACAGCAGGTCCAGTGTCATCACCAGTAATGACATTATTAGTAAGCTTCACAAACGCACTAGACTATTTGCATCTCTAAACACACAATAAAGTTGAAATGATCTTAATCCAAGATGTCTCTTTTCTAGTGTCAGGCTTATACTAAGAAAATAGTAACATCTGGTTAGTTTTACCTTGGAAGTTCTGAAGAGGTTGAAAAATTCATCAAAATTCTTTTTTGAAACATCTGTGAAGGCAAGCCGGACCATATCTGATGAAAGAAAGACAGATGTCCAGAATTGGTAGATTCATTCATAAGCTTCATACTTTGCAAAAAAGAAGAGGATGAAGGGCCAAGAAACAAAGTTTCCCCCTCCTTCCCTCCATTCCTTCATCCGCTCCTCTTTCTCCCTGAAGGAAGAGGCATGCTTTTTGCTCAAGAACCCCTGGAAGAATTTTAAAACCTAAATGTCCCCTGGCATATTTGCTTGACATTTAAATTTTTTATCCTAAGTATAAGTAGTTGCAAAGAATGTAATTTCTGATAGGTCATAAACATATAAACATTTTACAGTAAAGCATTCAATCACTCTTTTAAGCACATCAGTAGAATCTAACTGTCCACATTACTGGTTTGAAAACAAATACATGAACAAGCTCTTCCTTAAATCAGAAAATCTGTTATCTCTTTTCATTTTTGAAACTCATATTTCCATTTGACTCCCCCATAGGATTTTATCCTAATATTAGGCACATATTTTTATGCTTGAAAATCTTTTATTCTTTATATTTTTCTGAAGCAGAAATAGACATATATATTTGTTTTCCAAATTTTTTTCCATGACTGTAACAGTCTAAGTCTTACAAATTTTCTTTGGGCGTCAATTAATACACAAATGATCAATGCAAGTACAGACTAGTCTATAATAATTAAGCATACAGGTAATTTTATTAGCTATACATCTCTTCATAAGCTGTTATGAGACTGTGCCCCAACCTCTACTTGTTCACAGATCCATGGGGTATTATTCATTTTTGCTAGAACAAGACAGTTGAAGCCACAGTGGGAATGGCATCAGCCAAGGAGGGGATCAAAAGGAGGAGCTCAACAACATTGTGGAAAACATGGTGCAAAGCACTTCCAGGAGAAGGGGGTGGCCAGCCCTGGAAATGGCTGCATTTCTCCTCAACAGGCTGCTGACCTAGTCACGCCTCTACGGGACAGCAGGTGTCCCACCCTGGATTCATACAGTACTTCTGAATGCCCGAAACACCTCCATAATGTAGACTTATTTAGCCATCAACCTTACTTCTCAGAGCTTGCAAAGAAATGCAGAATTCAGAGGCTGTGCAGCAACCACTGTGGTGGAGCAGAAGGGAAGGGTGCTATTTTAAGAAATAAGCAATTGGTCTTTGCTGCTGGCCGCTGACACAGAGCTCCTGAATCCTTAGCATTTTCTGGGTGGCAGGCATGTCTCTGGTTCTAATGAACTGACTCTTGCTGGGCCCTTGGTAGCTTCAGAATGGGGACTGGTGGCCAGAAAGACCAAGCCTCGATTAGATACCTGGAGCTGTCAGCCCAACCTTCCCCAGCTCCCTAGCTTCCAGGAGAGGGGTGGGGCTGGGGATTGATCAGACTATGTGATCACTGATCAGACTTCCATAAAACCCCCTACATGACGGGGTTTGGAAAGCTTCCACGTTGGCAGACACCTCCACACGCCAGAGGGCAATGCCCCCAGCTCCTCAGGACAGAAGCCTGGGCACTGGGTGCACCCCCGGAGCTTGCCCTGTGTGTCTCTCATTGCTTCCTTTGTAATAAGTGAGCAAGTGCTTTACAAGAAGCAAGTAAAGGGAGCTGTGCTTCTGTGTTCTGTGAGCTGGTCCAGCAAATTCGGAACCTGAGCGGGGTTGTGGGAACCCCGATTTGCAGCCCGACAGGCAGAAGCACAGGACGCAGGAGACTTGCACTGGCGTCTGAAGAGGGGATGCTCTTGTGGGCCTGAGCCCTGAGGGGCGGGGTCTGTGCTAACTGAGTAGTTAGCCTCCAACCTGAATTGAACTGCACCCCACGTGGCGCCCGGAGAATCAGAGACCGGGCTGGCTGGGTGCTGGAAACACCCGTAAGGCGGGCTCTGAGGTTCAGGGCTGGCTTCGGTTCAGCCCTCTCCCTGCCCTAGAAATAAAATGCCTGAAAATAAAACCAAAAACTCACCAGTCACAGTGTGCAGCATATCGACAGCAGGCTCCTCCAGGGCGTGGATTTGCTGCTTTACAATAGTTTCAAACGTCCTGTAATTCACAAACCCTGGCAGCTCTCTGCCCCGGTACTGATTTTCAAATTTCTGGATTTGCTTATATATAGTTTCATAACCTACAGTAAGAAAGAACAGCTCTGGATTATTTTACAAAAATAACCTTGCAGGTTTTTCTAGACACAATGCCATTCTGGACTTTCTGAAAGCATGGGGTGTTCAAGAAAAAAATCGAATCTGGTTTGAAAATTGAAAAATACTTTGGGATTACAATAAAGAAACAAGATGTCAAGATAATTTTCCTTCGTCATCTCTAGATGGCAAGCACAGGGCCAGGGTACAATGTCAGGGCAAGACATATTCCTGACAAGGTACTGGGGCAGGAAATTTTGCAAATCATATTTGATTTTTACCAAAAAAGTTGTATCAAAGAGTATCATGACCTGCAGGTTCTTTAAAAAGTAGACAGCCATGCACACTGTGCGGAATCAGCTGCCCCTCACGTACTCATGGGCTGTCAGGGGTAGGAAGTGTTTGTAAGTCAAATGGGACCACAGAGTAACCAGGCACATGAGGTTGTATTAATGCGATGTGGGGCCACTGCTGACTGTAGGAAACACCTCGTCTTTTCTTTATACTTTTATACTTTTGGAATTCTTACTCATCAAACTAGCCTGTGGAGAAACACCTCCATTGGGGGTGGAAGTTCAGGAGGGCTCTGGTCCCTCTTTTAGAAGGACTGACCAGGGATGGTGGCCTGGGCATCCTCTCTCGGTCAGGAGGTTATTTCTCATAGGATATTTTTTTAAGTAGATATAATTTACATACTATAAAATTCACCCTGGATGTGTTCTGTGCTGATTGTGAGTAAATGCACGAAGTCGTGCAACCATCACCACTAATTCTCAAACATTTCCCTCAATGCAGGGACCCGATACCCTTCAGCAGCCACTCCCTGTTTCCCCCTCTCTCTGACCCCTGGAAAGCGCTGCTCTGCTCTCCATTTCTGGGGATTCGCCTGCTCCTGACACTTCACATATGTGCAATCTTACAGCCCATGGCCTTTTGTGACTCACGTCTGTTCACTGAACACAATGTTTTCAAGGTTTACCCATGTTGTAGCGTGTGTCAGTACTTCCTGCCTTTCTATGGCTGAATAACATTCCCTGGTATGGTGTCATAAGATGAATTGTGCCTCCCCAGAATTCCTATGTTGGAGTCCTGGCCCCTGCTACCTCAGAAGGTGACTGTGTTTGGAGGCAGGCCCTTTCAAGGGGTTATTAAGTTGAAATGAGGTCCCTAGGGTGGGCCCTCCTCCAGTATGACTGGTGTTCTTACAGGAACAGGAGATTGAGAGGCACGCACAGAGGGACGACCACATAAAGACACAGGGAGAAGACAGCAACCTGCGAGCAAGGAAGGAGACCTCAGAAGAAGCCAGCCCTGCGCCACCTTCGTCTCAGACTTCCAGCCTCCCGAATTGTAAGAAAATTAATTTGTTGTTTGAGACACCCAGCCTGTAGTTCTTTGTTATCACAGACCTAGCCAGTTCTTACATGTGGATAGACCACATTTTGTTTATCCCTTTACCTGTTGATGGATATTTGAGTTGTTTCCACTT